GTCCCATTGGCTTGGACTACAATTCCCATGCATTGCAGCTGGGGTGGTCTGAATGATGTCCTTGCCTAGGCAAGGCCAGAATATTTTCTGGGTTCGGGAATAATCTTGGAGCAATTTTCTTTATGGGTTACAGCACCATGAGTTTTAGATAACTTTGCTGACAGTTTCCAGCAATTGTGCTTTGGAGGGGGAGAAGGCGTAGAGCGGGGATCTCCAACCTTGGGGTCTTGTGGACCTCAATTCCCAGAATTCCTCGACTTTAAGACTTGTGGACTTCAACTCCCAGAATTCCTCAACTTTAAGACTTGTGGCCTTCAACTCCCAGAATTCCTCAACTTTAAGACTTGTGGACTTCAGCTCCCAGAATTTCTCAGCCAGCTTGCTGAGAAATGTCACACGTGACCCCAAGGCTTCAGATTGCCTGCTCTTGCCCTGAAAGTTTTATCTACTCACCTTGGTCTCTCAGGGAGATAAGGCGTTTATGGGTGCCATTATGGCAACATTTTCTATACACGTTTTATAGTTGTCAAGGGCACTACTTAATGAGACTTCCTTACTGTTTTTATTATTATTGCTGATCTTCACCTGTTTTTATTATTGCTTTGTGATTTTGATCTTCGGCACCTAGAGTTACCCTAGAGTTACACCTAGAGATACAACTCTTTTAGCGAATACGTAAGATCTTGCATGGGCTATTGGCAGAGAAAGTTTAGTAATTTTGCATGGAAATGTGGATTAGCTCAAGTGTATTGATTTAAGCTGGTGATTTGAATGGCAGAAAATGAATTGTGAACAATACAGGAAACGCCTCCCTCCCCTGCCCCCAACCAGAATCGCTCTACTAGTAGTGATGGTGCTGAATTAGACGCTAGGAGACTGTGACTTCTAGGTCTGCCTTGGGCAGGAAGCCAGTTGGGTGTTTGGGGGCCAGTTCTAGAACTAGAAGAGCGGCGCAGTGGCGCAGTGGTCAGAATAGAGTACTGCAGGCTCCTTCTGCTAATGCCGACTGCCTGCGATTCGGCAAATTGAATCCCACCAGGCTCAAGGTTGACTCAGCCTTCCGTCCTTCCGAGGTGGGTCAAATGAGGACCCAGATTGTTGGGGGCAGGAGACTGACTCTGTAAACCGCTTAGAGGGGGCTGTGAAGCACTGTGAAGCGGTATATAAGTCTAAGGGCTACTGCTATTGCTAGAAAGCCACTTCTGAAAATGTTGCCCCAAAATTCATAGAGACTTGTTCCTGCAGACACCAGGAGCCAGAGTTGTCTCGATGGACCAGAGCAACCAGTTTGGCCCATTGAGGACTCCCAGCCCTGGTTCGGCTTGATTTCTTGTGCTCCTGCAGACCAGCAGTTTGTGGTCTGTCACCTCCTTAGCACATTCATGTAGTCCATAAATACAAACATTAGCTCTTCACTCCTCTAGTTCCAGTCTAAAAACTCCAACCAACCTTGGCCTCCAAGGCGAGTGTAGACTCCTGCAGAGTGACTTCCATCTGTGACTGTATCACGTGGGGCTCTCTTTCTCCAAAGTTCTTTCCCCCCACAAGACTGCCCAGAGCCCCCAAGCCTCACTAAGGCCACCTGCTCCAACAGGAGCTTCAAGAACCACATCAGAACTTGCCATGTTGCAGGTGCACATACGTGGCTGGTTCTGGCTCCGGCAGTGACCCCACAGGATTAGAATTAGAATAGAATAGAGCTGGAAGGGACCTTGGAGGTCTTCTAGTCCAGCCCCCTGCTCAAGCAGGAGAACCTATACTATTTCAGACAGGTGACTGTCCAGTCTCTTCTTAAGAACCTCCAGGGATGGAGCATACACGGTGTCTGGTGGCAGGCTGTTCCACTGGTTAATTGTCCTCACTGTTAGGGAGTTTCTCCTTAGCGTCTCCTCAATTCCAGCTTGCTTTTCTCCTTGGTTAGTTTCCAACCATTGTCTCTTGTCCTTGCCTGTTGGTGCTTTGGAGAATAAGTTGACCCCCCCTCCTCCTCCGTGGGGCAGCCCCCCAAATACTAACCCAATGCGTGGCTGGTGTCTCTTCAGCCCCAGGCTCTCTCCTCCAGCAGGCCTTGGCACCTGAGCTCTTGGCACCATCTGGGTTTGTCTGACTTGCAAACCACCTGGACTTGTTCTTGGTTGGGTCAGATGCTCCTGTTGAACAGATGCTCCAGCCCTGCCTCTCTTGCGCCTGGCCTTTCTCCCAGAGACCTGCAGGCTTGGTTCCTGTCGAGGCTCAGCGACGGGAGAACGCTTCACTGCCTCAGCTGCTAGGACACCCCCTTGTTTCAGTGGGATGGGGCTTCCCCACCCCCCTCCAGAAGCTGCCTTCTTCCCCTAGGGGGACATAAAACAAGTTGAAAATTCAACTCTGTGGCTGAAAAATTGCTGGCGCTTGGTGGTTCTGCCAAACCTAAACAAGGCACAGCTAACTTCTTGGCTCCTTGTCTCAGTTCAGCAACCAGACTCTGGGAATGTTTCGTCCTCTGCAAAAGAAGGAAGAAATGAAGTCATTTGGCCATGTGGCAAAACCCCTGGATGTGCAAGTGAAACCTCAGTGTGTCCAAGAGGAAAGAGCAGTGGGCTTCAGGTCACCCAGATGTCTGAAATAATAGTTTATTGGCACTCCTGAGGAATGTCTTCTCTAGGATGTCTTAATTCTCGGGATTCTGTCTAATAAGGACTATGAGTTGCTGGCTGGAAGTGGAAACCATGTTTCTGCTTTGGAAATTCGGCCAAAATAGTGGCCCTACGTCTCCCATTGATATGAATTTGATATTGGAAGGTACTGAGATATGATCCCTGGAGTCTCCTGAAGGCTTCTTCCTGGAACTAGTGAGCAAGGACTCACCTTGGATTGTGTCTACTGAGAGAGGAAGTGTCTCATTTTGACACTCCTGCAGTTCCCGCAGCCTGGAAGCAAAAAATAAATAAATACCATGGTGGCTGGAATAAAGCATTAAAGGCAGGCCTTCAGCATAAACCCCCAACATGGTGACAGATTGGCTCAGAGGAACTTGTCAAAGAATCATCCATCACACCATCAGTTCCCCACCACTGGTTGGTTGTCTGGTTGTAGATTTGCTTCTCAAGAGTCCTCAATGCAAAGCAAAGGGGGTTAGACTAGAAGACCTCCAAGTTCCATTTCAACTCTGTTATTCTGTAAATGCTTTTGGACTCTTAAGTGGCCAGAAGCATTTCTTTGTCCTTTTTTTGCTGTTTTTCTTCCTTCCTTAGCAAAGAAAGTGAAGCGGAAACTGAAAAGCAGCGATTTTAATAGCATCGTCTTGACCTCACTGAGGCCGATTTCTTGACTTGGTGAATGTGTCGAGACCATTCATATTGGGAGATTCCAAGGAGTAGCCGCACTCGCCCTGTCGATCCCACACATTTCTCCTCAACTGGAATCCTTCCCCAAAGCTAAGAGGTTATGGGAATAACCTGATACAGTATTCAAAGTCCTTCAGAGTTTGCTTTACTCTAAGAAAGCTTCCACTGATAAAATTTCAACCTGAAATACTGTCCTGAATTGATGCAAAGTCACAAGCTCTGGTTTTGTGGGGTTTTTCTTAAGAGGGTTTACGTGGGGACTAAATAGCAATAGCCCTTAGACTTATATACCGCTTCACAGTGCTTTCCAGCCCTCTCTTGTTTACAGAGTCAGCCTCTTGCCCCCAACAATCCAGGACCCATTCAACCAATCTTGGAAGGATGGAAGGCTGAGTCCACCTTGAGCCAGTGAGAATTGAACTCTTGGCAGTGGGCAGAGTTAGCTTGCAATACTGCACTCTTAACCACTACACCACCATGGCTGTTAGATAGATATAGAGTTGGATGGATGGATGGATAGAGATACAGAGAGATAAGAGAGAGAGAGAGAGAGAGAGCAACAGCACTTAGGCTTATATACTGCTTCCCAGTGCTCAGTGGTTTACAGAGTCAGCCTGTTGCCCCCAACAATCTAGGTTCTCATTATGCCCACCTTGGAAGGATGGAAGGCTGAGTCAACCTGGAACAAGTCAGGATCGAACATATCTTGCCAGCATTGGCACCCTGTGCCTACTTGAATTCACCAGGTCAGATTCTGAGATGAAGATGCCCTCAAAGAGACTCAGGAGAATATGAAAAAAATAAAATAAAATCTTATGACATTTTTTCCCTCTGACTCACCTACAAGAGACTTGACCCCTTTGGCCTAGACCCCTAGCCTGTGCCATACATCAAGAGGGAGCTGAAATGTCCCTCTATGTCTTCTTTCCAGTTGGGCAGAAGTTGCATGTTTCTTTCAGATTAGACTTGCACAACACAACTTAATCCAAAATTGACTCGTTTTCTGCATTTACAGAACATTCTGAACCATTAGTCATAAAGGGGCTCCTTCATACAACATGCTAAGCTGCAAGAAATTTTGACATGTTGTACACATGCACGTGCTAGGGCACGGGTGTCCTATCTTTTGGCTTGCCTGGGCTGCACTGAGTGAAGAGCCACATATAAAATATATAATTCAGTTAATGTGCATAAATCACATTACGTTAAACCAGGGGTCCCCAAACTTGGCAACTTTAAGATTTGTGGACTTCAACTTCCATAGGTGGCTGGAGAATTCTGGGAGTGAGTTGAAGTCCACAAGTCTTAAAGTTGCCAAGTTTGGGGACTTCTGCGTTCAGTGTTTAGGATCTTGTGGGACTGAATTACCAGCTGTCTAGGGCCGCATGTGGCCCATGGCCCAGAACTAACCATGTTAGGGCTTTAACTAGCCCAGGAGAGTGTATTTGCCAACCTCCGTGCCTTTTCAGCCATTTTATTTTGAAAGGCAAGTGTCTGTGGTGTAGAATGACTCAACCCCAAGGCATCCAACATGGGGCCGGCCTGCCTGCCTGCTTTCTCCAGACATAGAGTGGAGAGAATTCTCTTGGGGGGACTCAGAAAACGGACACGCATGATAAGAAAACGTCTATTTATCAGAACAACGAAATAACTTTTTTTTCCTCTTTCCCTAAGGGGTGGCCTGGCCTGAAATGCACCGTCTGGCAGACCGAGTCCATCTGGAAGAGCTGACGAAAATTGGCATCCTCCGCGGCAATGTGGAGGACATGGTGGCGGTCCATCTGGGTGCTGTATTTATGCCTCACGGGCTGGGACACTTTCTTGGGATTGACGTTCACGACGTCGGCGGCTACCCGGAGGTCAGTTCTGAACTCTCCCCGCTCTGCAGCCAACCCAATACAGATCGATGACTGAAGCGTTTGGCACACTCGTTGGGCGGGTTGAGCAGGGGTAGGTTCTCTGCCTGGTGGCGGGGTGGGCGTGGCCATGGTGGGCGTGGCCATGGTGGGGGGGATTTGCCCTCCCCGGGCTCCGGAGGCTCTCTGGAAGCCGGAACCGGGCCCATTTCCAGCCTTCCCAAACTCCCCGGAAGCCCATTTTCGCCCTCTCTGAGCCTCCGTGCTTTTGCGGGGAACGGCAGGCAAACCCTGAAACCACACAGAGACTTTCCAGGCTGGATCCTGAACCCAGTCAGGCTTCGTAACCTCTAGCCTATTTCGGGGGGCAGGGGAGACCCATAGTCTAGCCTTCCTGCCAGGAACTTTTGAGCACACAGCTTATAACTCACAACTACCTCCCTGAAGTCACAGTGAAGCCCATGCTGGCCCAACCCACGAGTCTTTTCAGCTGCCACGGCCTGTGTGGTGCCCTTCCCTGTTACTCTATCCATCTGGCATCATCACGGCCTTTACGGCTGGAGGGCTGAAAGACGCCCCAAGCCTCTCGCTGAAGGTGTGCGCCCTTTCCTTTTCCCAGGGAGTCGATCGCATTGACTTGCCCGGTCTCCGGAGTTTGCGGACTGCCCGGACCCTCCTCCAAGGCATGGTGCTGACCGTGGAGCCTGGCATCTATTTCATTGACCATGTCTTGGACCAGGCCTTGGCGAATCCAGCGCAGGCCTGTTTCATCAACAAAGACGTCCTGGCACGTTTCCGAAACTTTGGTGGGGTGAGTAACTTTGTTCGGGCATAAAAGTGGACTGGAAAAATGTAGCGTTGATGAGAAGCTCTTTCAAAACACAGTGCATCAAAATTAAAAAAAAAATCAAAAATCCAAGGTACAGATTAGGCGAGACCTGGCTCAAAAACAGTAACTGGGGGAGGGGCTCTGGAGTCCCAGTGGACGTTCACTCGAACAGGAGCCAGCCGTGTGCAGCAGCAGCCAAAAAAGCTCATACAATCCTTGGTTATATAAACAGAGGCATAGAATCAAGATCATTTGAAGTACTAGTGCCATTTTATAAAGCCTCAGTAAGGCCACACCTGGAACACTGCAACCAGCTTTGGTCGCCATATTACAAAAAAGATGTTGAGACTTTGGAAAAAGTTCAGAGAGGATCAACTAAGGCGATCAGAGGCCTGGAGAGAAAAAGAGAAAAAAAACGTCTCTACAAAGAGAGAAGCAACCTGGAATTGAGGAGAAACTTCTTCACGGCGAGCTCAATTAACCAGGCGAACAGCTTTGCCTTCAGAAATCATGGGCGCTTCATCCCTGGAGGTTTTTAAGAAGAGACTGGACAGCCTCTTGTCTGAAATGGTAGAGGTTCTCCTGCTTGAGCAGGGGGCTGGACTAGAAGACCTCCAAGGTCCCTTCCAGCTCATTCATTCTGTTTGCACGCAGAATGCCATGAAAATGCGTCACAGTCTTGTGGAGTGGGCAGGTTTGGGTGGAATGAGACAGGGAATGGCCTAAAAATATCCAGAGGGTTTGTGCATAATCAGAGTTTAAATTTGGAACTTGTGAGAGTACAAAGCTTGGCCTCTTTGCATTTCTAGAAAGAGATTTTAAATGCTCTGCCTTTAGGGAATATTTTCTTTTCATCAGCTGGTTGCTAAGCAACATGGGTGCAACAGGGAAGTAGTTTGCAGCCGCTGGACAAGGTGGATGCACTTTTGGAAACTCCGGGCTTGTTCCGAAAGTAGCAGCAGCACCTTTGAATCATTTGCGCAACTCCAGGTGCTTCAGTCACCTGTTGGAGGAGAAAAGGAGCCAAGCAAAAGAAGGAAGGTGTCAGAACAGCAGCATTGCTAGCGACAATGGGGGTATGCTACTGGTTCGGCCCGGTTCTGGCATACCGGTAGCGCCAAAGATCAGCTGGCAGAGAACCTGGGCTCCCATACTGACCTTTACTCCCTGCTTTGCACGGCACAGGAGATTTCTGTGCATCCCTGTTGAAGCTACTATCCAGCAGTGATTCCAGCAGTGACCCCCATTTAAATCCTGAGTCTCGAGCCAAACTTCCAAAACTTCAAAAAGAATTTATTGGGAGTTAAACTGTCTGGCACTGCCTGGGTGTAGCCAACTCTGAAGCACATCATTCACTGTCATCATTGACCTTGGTTTCCCCCCCACCCCCTGGGTGTGTCCTAATTCATATTCTCCAATGGGACACATCCAGAGCCCAGAGTCATCCATCATGCTCTCCAGTTAGAATTTTGCGCAGCAGAAACTTCGGTCACCAAGTTACTATCTTTGAAAACATCTACGGAATGCAGTTTCCATTTTGCAAGCTGCTACGCTGCTCCCCCCCCCCCTTTCTGCTGGCAACTCTAAAAAGACCAGAGAAATATTTTATGAGTTGACATTTACAGAGGGGAGTGCAAGAGGTGAGTAGGAAAGCCTCTGCACATGCGCAAAGTGTATGTGTGCGCAGCAAAGTGTGCGTGCGCACACAAAGCCCGCCCACCAAGCCACGCCCACTTGAACCAGTGGTGAACCACTTAGAAACCCACCCCTGGCTGGCGAGCTGGAGAACATCCCAACTTGGATGGAGGGGAGCAACTTGAGGGCAGGATACCAAGCTGGGGGTTCCCCCACTGCTTGGAAGCCTCTCCCGGCGTGGAGCTCTTGCGGCCGTCCCTGGCAAAGTCTGGCAGGCTTTGGACAAGTCTGTGGAATAACCCCACAGTTGGATCCCAAAGACCACCCAGAAGGGTCGGAAGGGCTGCAGTCTCGGGGCTGCCTGGGAAGAGAATATCAGGGGAGGAAATGTTTTGCGAGAGAGGCATCCATCGGCTGCAATGATCCCTGGAGGTTCGTCGTCTTGCCCGGAATCTCCACCGGCAATCGCACTGTGTCAGAAGTGTGGACTTTGGCTCCTTTGGTGGGAGGCTTTGCTCCAGGACGAGATCCCTCCTCCTCCTCATCTGCCCTGAGTCCTTCCCTCTTGGCTTCGCCTCCGAAAAGCTGTGTGTGCAGAGTCTACACTCTTATCAAGCCAGGTGGGACTTTACCTTCTGCTGCTGAATTTTCTCCCTAGGTCGGAAAGGTTATCTCTGCTCTGGGCCGTTTCTTGATCAGGGCGTTTGAGCCAACCAGGATTCTGGGGCTGGAAAGCCTGTGTCCCCCCCTGGGGAGATGGGGGGGGAGGGGGCTTCCTGCTTAGATGCTCCAGCAAGTGCTGCTGCACCGGTCAGCCCTGAAGCCGGGGGCCACCTGCTCTGGCTTTCTTTCCTCTCTTCCTAGCCAGGCCCAAGGAGACAGCGGTCCTGGGGGGCAGCCCCTCCGCACATGGGCCGCCTTCTGAAGGCCCCACGTGTCTGGGGCAGGTCTACTCCAAATAGCTTCTTGGCTGGGTGATGGATCTCTTTTAGAATGCAAGGAAGCCGTAGCCCCCCAGAATTGCCTAGAGTTGGTTCTTTCCAGAGAAAAGTAAGAAGGCTGACCAATTTCTAGCCAGAAACTTCCAAGAACCATAGGTTAAAAGGGATCCTGGAGGTCTTCTAGTCCCACCCACTGGCCAAGGTCCTCAGATCGTCCCAGACAAATGGCTGTCCAGGCTTTTGAATAAACCTCCAGTGATGGAGCTCCTCCAACACCAGGAAGCAAGGTGATTCATTGTTCTCACTGTCAGGAGATTCCTCCGTAGTCCCAAGTTGGGTCTCCTTCTCCCCACTCAAGGCTTCTTTTCCTGCCCTCAAGAATAATTGGAGAATAATTTTTTCCTGTGACAGCCTTTCAGAGGTTGGAAGATTTAATCGTGTCACCCCCAGGTCCTTTTCTTCATTAGGCTAACCATGACCCTAAACTCCTTCAGCCATTTTTCATACAATTTAGCCTCCAAACACTTTTTCATCTTGGTTGGCTTCATCCCTGTTCTTCTCTCCTCCTGCATTTCACGTAGCCTTTTGTTTACCATAACTTGATTCATGATCACCAGATAAAAATCAATGGAAAACAAATGGGACATCAAAATAGCATGTAGAACAGGGATCTCCAAACTTGTCAACTTTGAGACTTGTGGGCTTCATCCCCCAGAATTCCCCAGCCAGCAAGTCCTGATTTAGAACCATGAAATTGCAAGTTAAACACCCTCGGCATGACTAACATTCATTTAGAGTGATTTGGAATCAGAATTTTCCTCAGCAACCACACGGGGGATTGAGAGTTTGGTTTGGTGATCTGAATTTGCAGGAAAAGACCAGCCTTCTACTGTGCAGTTGACTTCGCCGCATGGCAGGTTCTGCTGGCCTTACTGGCCAGGAATGCTGTAAAATACAGCCCCATAAATTCAGAAGGGTTTGCATGTGTGTATCTACTGCCCAAGAAGCTGTGCAAGTGGGTGTCTGGGATGGCCACACATTGTGTAGCGCTCTGTGAAGATTTCCAAGGAGCCTGATCCAAAGTCCTGACAAGTGCAGGTTTATCGTTAGGAGAAACTTAGAAATACAAGTGTTTCTACTGGCTCATTTTGATCTCTATGAAGGGGAAAAAGGGGAGGTCAATGTTTTGTCCAGGTTGTTGTTGTTATTGTTAGTTGCAAAGTCATGTCCGACCCATCACGACCTCACGGACAACGTTCCTCCAGGCCTTCCTGTCCTCTACTACTATCCTCCAGAGTCCATTTAAGCTCACACCGACTGCTTTAGTGAGTCCTTCCTTCTGATGAGGTGGCCAAAGTCTTTGATTTGTCCAGGTAGAAGGCCTCTTTTTGTCAATGAAAAGAGAGCAGTTGCCGTTCCCTGGATAGTAAAGAGTGAGAATTGGTAGATTTAGACTGAACAGCTGCCAGCTGCCTGCTGCACACATTCGGCCAAGCTTATTTAATTCTGGTCCATAATAACGTTTAAATTAATCTTAAATAATGAAGATAATTTGACAGTCAGCTTCACTGAGCACTTTAATAAGACTCAATGACTGGCTTTGTTTGAATAAATAGGCAATTTTGCAAGCAGGACAAATGTTAAACTAGCATTATTTTTAGATCAAAATGCTAAGAGGTCAGAAACAATTACAGGCCGCGCATAGTGGGAATCACCAGGGTTTGTGTTCCTTTGGCTTTGACACTTGGGATAAAATTGCTTTTATTGCAGCTTACAGGCTTACCAGCACATTTCTGATAAGATAAGGGATAATGACGGAGTCTGCATATTTGACCAGAAGAGATTAGCACTGGGCGCAGAGACTGGGTGCAGAACGGTGTGGCCTTTTCTTTCGCACCCAATGAGAATAGGAAAGGTTTCAGAGACCTTAGTAACAGTATCAGCTACAAAGCATCCTATCTCATGGCTCCTTTTTCAAAGGCAAAGGGATGAATAGAGCTTAACAAACAGGGAAGAGGAAGGCAAAATGTATTTATGCTGCAGCCCCAAAGTTGGACTTACGCTGGATCTTTATTTGAGGCAATTGACCCAACGGGAGCTGATAACATCCTATGCCACAGAGAGGAGGGAGGAGGGGGTCAAGCTATTGTCCAAAGCACCCGAAGGCCAGACAAGGAATAATAATGGATGGAAACTGATCGAGGAGAGATTCAACCTGGAAATAAACTTTCTGACAGTGAGAGCAATCAACCCGTGGAACAGAAGTTGCCTTCGGAAATTGTGGGAGCTTCATCCCTGGAAGCTTTCAAGAAGAGACTGGACTGCCCTCTGTCAGAAATGGTGTAGGGTCTCCTGTTTGGGCTGGGGGTTGGACTAGATGGCCTACACAGTCCCTTCCTTTAATCTGTTATGCAGGCAGCATATTTTCAATGCTGAGCACCTAATTTACATTGCTTATATTTATACCTTGCATCTCCAACCCTCTGTAGTCAGATTAATTTGTGGAGGGAGGTGTAACAAAATGAGCGATCCACATGATGCAGTCTAAGAACGGAACAGGGCTTCCTAAAAGAACGACGTTACCCCTACTTGCTTTGAGCGGTTCATGGCAATGGGCCACACGCTCCTCTCACCTGAGGCAAGACCCCAAAGTAGTAGCCAGGTGCATGAAGGGACATTCTCAGGTCGGCTGTTTTCATCCCCGTTATGATTACAGGTAGTCCTTGGCTTACGAGCACAATTGAGCCAACGTTTCTGTTGCTAAGCAAGACATTTGCCAGGCGAATTTGGCTCCATTTTACAACCTTTCTTGCCACAGTCATTAAGTGAATCACTCCTGTTGTTAATTTAGTATCACAATTGTTAACTGAATCTGCTTTTCCCATTTGACTTTGGTTGTCAGAAGGTTGCAAAAGGTAATTTATATGACACCCCCCACCCCAGGACCCTGCATCCGTCATAAATGTGGGTCACTTGCCAAGTGTCTGGATTTTGATCACGTGATCATGGAAAGGCTGCAATGGTTGTAAGAGTGACAAATGGCCATGCGTCACTTTTTTCAGTGTCATTGTAACTTTGAATGGTCACTAAAGGAATAGTTGTAAGTTGAGGAGTACTTGTGCTGGTGGAGAAGAACTGTCTCCACGCCACTCTACCCTACAACTGAAGGATTTGAAGAGCCCACGTTTTCTCTGCAGCTTCTTTGAGGAAGTAGAATAGGATAAGTAGAATAAAGAATAAGGAACAGAATAGAATAAAGGATAGGATAGGATAGGAAGGAGGAGGAGGAGGAGGAGGAAGGAGAGGGGGAGAAGGAAGAGGAGGAGGAGGAGGAGGAAAAAGGAGGAAGAGAAGGAGGGAGAGGGAGGAGAAGAGGAAGAGGAGGAAGGAGAGAGAGAAATAATAGAAATAAATAAAAATAGAACCTTGGAGGTCTTCTAGTCCAGCCCTTTGCTCAAGCAGACTATACATACCAGGGGTGTCAAACCAGGCTGGATGCATCACGTGCTGGCCCCGCCCCTGCCCAGTTTAGCGAAGGGGGGAGAAGGTCCCAGTACGTCACGTGACAAAGCCGTGATGTTTGACCCCCGTGCCCCATCCCATTGCAGAGAAGTGCCTGTCCGGTCTCTTGCTTAACCACCACCAGGGAGGCCCCCGATTCCTGGAGGCCAGCTGTTCCACTGGCTGTGAGGCAGGGAGGCAACCTTAGCCACAGAATTGTTTCGATCTCCGCAAAGGGTTGCCTAGGCTTAACTAAGCCAGGTTAAAACGGAAAAGCCGCGTCGTTTTGCTCTGACTCTGCACCTGATGAGGTGTGTCTTGTCTTTTCCCAGGTACGGATCGAGGACGATATTGTGGTGACAGCCAACGGCATGGAACTGCTGACTTGTGTCCCTCGTACGGTCGCAGAAGTCGAAGCCTTCCTGGCCGAGGCTCAGGGCAGCACCAAATCTTTTGCTTCGTCTTCTAGCTAGGTGTCCACTCCGCCCTGGAGGTTTGGGGCTCCTTGCAGCCAGCCTGCCTTGCGCCTCAAGAGAAGCCTGCTTGTTGCAAGGGAAAGCAGCTTTCCAAATCAAAGTCGTTTTTTCCCCCCCTTGGGAAGATATTGGGGGGGGGGGAAGCGACGGCACCAAATCTCGATTCTCCATCTTGCCTCTTGACAAGTTTTGCCCCGAATGACGGGCGTAGCCGCTGATAAGCAAATACAGGAATCAGTGCAACCGAATCCCGTTTCTTCTTCATAGCCAATAAAGAGCCCAAGTTCTGCCAAATGAAATCAATGAATAAAAAAAAGTCTTGCTTTGAAGATCGCTTTGGCCTTCCGTTCTTTTTCCGAGACCCTCTTTTCAGTGTTCGGGTTTTGAAAGGTTTGAGGATGTCCCAGCTGCCTTAAAGGGTGGGGGTAGAAAGGAAGGCCCTCTGGTCTGCTTTGACCCCGTTTCCCCCCCCCAACCCCAGGTCACCTTTAGCCCAAGAGAGAGAGAGAGAGAGAGAGTGAGTCAGACAGAGGGAGGGGGAGGGAGACAAGAGAGAGGGAGGGAGGAGGCACCAACTTCTTGCCACTCTGGGCATGCTCATCGTGGTGGCTTAGTGACTATGTTGGCTTATTCTAAAGCGTGTAACTCCCAACGTTGATTTCCTCGAGAAAGAACTCCTGATTTCACATTCTTCCCAACTTTGCAATGGAGAAACAAAACTCCGCTTGACGTTCATGTTCATTTTGCCTAATACTGTTTGCAATTTGCATATATGCTTGAGTAATATGGTAGTCCTTGACTTTACGACCATTTCCAGTTATCGTCCTGAGTCATGAGACCCTTGTGACCGGACTTTTTTTTTTTTAGGAAGTAAAGCAATTTCTGTGGCTGCAATTTCTTTGGGGGGGGGGGGCTGGAAACTGGCAAAAAATATTGCCAATCGTAGTCCCATGGCCACAGGACACTGCAAGTGGTTGCAAAGCTGAACAGGGTACCAAGTGCCCAAAATGTGGTCACAGGATCGCAGGGGTGGCTCATTCTGGGCCCATCATAATTTTGACCTATCATTAATGGACCGTCATAAGTCAAGGATTTCCTGTAAAGTTTTACTTCAAAATAGTATTTTACTGCCTTATATACTTTAACCGAATTCCCTTTTGCTGTACCTTTTAAATGAGAAACCTGCAAACAAAAATCTGGAGAGAGAGAGATTTTTAAAAAGTATGGAATCTGTAGAACTAGAAAATTATACAAGAGAAAGGAATCACAAACACCTTGAGTATGTAACAAGACTTTCAGAAATATTTACAGAACACTTATGAGTAGGAAAGTAAAATGCCAAGGTATTAAAATACTAATTAAAAGAAGCAAAATGTGAGCATGCTCTGTGTTGCAAGTTGTAAAGGATGGAAAGATTCAAGTAGCTTTTTAGCTTCTATGATGTAGTAGATAAATGTTTATTAGGGATAAATTTTAAAAAGTGATGCTAAGAATGCATCAAGAATATGAAAAACCGAGTACATAAATAAATACATTTAGAGAGGAATGAAAGCCAGAATTGAAGAAGGGGAGCAAACAAGCTAAATTGGGATCCCCAAATTAGATTAACTTTTCGCCTGGCATGAAAGAAAGTAGATATCCTACCCCAATGGAAGCTTCAAGTAAAATGTAAAATAAAAGTATGCTGCAAGCACTTTCGAAAAGTGGAAAAAAATATTTGAAAACTAGATATGACTGGCTTTTAAGGTTATTATGGTTATGGATTGGAAAATAATCTCTTACCTGTATTTTACAATTTTTAAATGTCACATTTAGTCTACAAATGCATAAATGATTTATATAGTAAGACATTTTTTATATAAAACATGACATTTATTGGATGAGAGGGGGAGACTGTAGGTTTTTTAAATCATTCTGTGTGCGATGATTCTTGCATAATATACTCAGGAATATTTTTATACCTCTCCAAGATAATCCATTCCTCTTCCTACTCTCCAAATTCAGTATTATTGGAACTGCAGCTTGTTAGCCTGAAACAATTAGGCTTCAAATAAAAAGTATTACAGCTTTACAGAAATATAGGTCAGCGTGTTTGTTTTAAGGCTTTTTATTAATATTTTCTACCACAATCGAGTTTTTCTAAATACATGTACAAACACGGTAACTTCAAAAAGGGGGGAGGTATAAAAGTCATTTTCACTAGCCCAGCCATATATGCAAACATACTATGAATGGAGAGATTGTGAAAGAAAATAAATTAATGATTCATGAACTTCCCTGCTCTGTCAAATGTTTTCTTCTACTCAAATAAAATATATATATATATATATACCACCAGCATTTGAAGCATCAAAAAGCCTCATGTTTGTGGCCACAGGATTGACATAAAGCAAAAGATGTAATTTTATGGACTCCGTTGGAAAGATGATCGTGTATTTTTGGTTCACTGTGGAATTAAAATTGACCCTGGGTGGGTAATAATAGTAAGGTTTTGATTTTTTTTCCCTTCTCAATGAGCAAGGAATTCCTTCTGGTCATGAATCAAAAAGAAAGCAGTTCTGCTATGGAACATCACAAAATTAAGACCTTGCTGAAGATGGGAGGACGACATGATGTGGCTCATATTTATTCATTCATTTTATTAAATTTATATGCCACTCATCTCACTATCGAGACCAACTCTAGATATCTCATAATTACCTGGTTGTTTTTTTTCATCCTGCCTTTATTTTTATAAACAGAGCAGCGAACATACCTAATTGTCCTTCCTCCTCCTCTTTTCCTCACAGCAACAACCCTGTTAAGTGAGCACGATTTTCGTGCTGGGACCGAATGAGAGTGACTGGCCCAGTGTCACCCAGTTGCCTTTCAGGTCTAAGGACTGGAATCCCCATTCCCCTGAGCCTGATACCTTCACCACTAAACTAAACTAGCTCTCAATTATTTTGAATGTTATCTGTCTCCAAACCATTGCAAACCTTGAAAATGTGACCTTGAAGTAGAATTGATCTCTGGATCAAGCCACAATCACACCCTCACACAAAGCCAGAGGGTTAGGGTCACTTATGCCTTTGTGGGAACCCTGCCCCAGTAACCTGTTCACCAAATAATAGTCTTAAAACTGCATAAATCCACCCAGTGATGAAGTGAAAGCCTGTATGCAGACCCCAATTTCCATCCACACTCTAGGCAACTCATTTAGGGGTGGTGGGAAAAGCAGCAGCAGCAGCATCCTTCCCCCCTCCTCAAAAAAAGAAACAAAATTCCTGGGCAGACGCTGCAGATATTTGTAGATAGTCATTATAGTTGCCCAATTCCACTTGGCCACACCGAGAGCAAGCCCATTTTCAGACCACAGATAACAGACCACGGGGCTTGGAGAAGCCCACAACCCTTGTGGTGTTAGCCAACCTTTCCCTTAACTAAACAATTTGTTAGGCACCGCTACTGAGCAAACCTCAACTACAGAAGTTTTACACAGCAAGTATTTGAACTACATATTTGAAAATCCCAACCTATATTACAAAATAAGTCATGCACTACCAAAATAAGTGGAAAAGGAAAAAATTTTAAAGCTTGTTTAATCAACTCTTCAGCTGATTATCAGTCTATGGACATTTAATTGCTACCCTGCTGAAGAAAAGCTGTCAACCGAACAACTAATTTAAGGCTTTCAACCATTTCACAAAGATAATTTGGTGAAGCATGTAAATGTGCACATGAATACCTGGGGATCGTTCACACTTACACATTTTGCCTTGCAGAAATCACTTTGAAACAGGCACCTCTTCCTGGGCAAGATAAACTGGAGTCTGAGAAGAATGTCTGTAAATTCTTACCTTAAAAACAATTTATATTTTGAAAAAAGTATTGCCTAGTCATCATGCCCAGAAAAGATTTAAATAATTTAATAAACAATGCAGCCCTAATTTAGTGACAATAATTTGAGGTTGTTTCCCTACTCCTTTCATTTATCAAAAAAAAAACCAAAAACCTGACAAGAAAATACATTAACACTTAATTTAAATACTTAACATAAACATTCAATTTCCTGGCATCAAACAGAGGGATAAGTCTACTGAAAAATGATGTTAAAAACCAGAGATGATACAAAGTTTAGAGCAGATTTGTCTCCATTCTATAATCCACCTGGTCAAGGGAAGTCCACAGAGTTTTATCTATTGTCCGGAGGCATCTGAATGTGCTGCAGAGTTTTCTGTGCCCAGAGGCTGCGCACTGTCTGTGAAGTTGTGAGCGTGCTCAAGAAACAAATCCTTCAGTACGCTCAGCTCCTTCGTCAGGAGCTTGATTTTGGCCTCCAAGCGTTCATTTTCTTCTTTCAGCTGGTTGACCCTCTGGAGGGTGTCCTGGGCTTTCTGCTTACTTTTCAAGCGGCTCTTTTTCACCGCCATGTTATTACGTTCCCTGCGCTGGCGGTATTCATCACTGTTTCTATCGACAAGGGAATTCTTTTTGCCCTGCTTGCTTGGAGGTGTAGCTTTGCCCCCACCGCCAGGACTCACGGGCACCAGCTGAGGGACTTGTTGCAACCCACTGGTGTGCGCTGGGGTATAGATGACACTTACTCCATTGGTTTCTGCAGCTGTGTTCTGCTGTGATGCCTTGCTCATTTGGACAAGCTCTCCTGTAGACCCAGTGTGAGTTATAAGAAAAGATACAGTCTGGGACTTCACGGTGTTTCTGGAGCGGCTGTCCACAGGCTGCCACGCGGAATCTAGAAAGAAAAATAAGTTTTTCCTTTTTCTCAAAATGTATAACGCCACATCCCCTCCTCAATATGATTTTCCATAAACCTGTACAGTGGATGCCTGCCCTGACACATGTCTTTTATATTTCCCAGTACCATATTTGGATTGTACTTCATTCACAGTTGTACCATGAGATGGACATTTTGCCCAATGAGGGCCTAGCATTAATTCATCATGTTATTATACATGTAGTATTGGTGAAACTAACATTAACTTAAACTCAGTCATGGGTTGCATACCAGCGTAACATGAATATCAACATCGGTTCCAACACAAAATTACCTCCACTCCTGCTAGGCTACCATCTTAAGAAGGTCTGTGGGCACAAGATAACTCAAGGCTACTGCTTCAAGGGCTTTAAGTTAAAAGTGGCTGCAGCAGGATTAGAAGGCAGCACAGCAAAATGAAATGTCAGGTGAACTTTTTCCTGTTCTGTTGCTTCTAACAGTTAGCAAAATTATGGCAATTCAACCAAGTTTTCACCCTGAGTGTTTTCTTTTGTTTAAGCATCATTCCAATTCTCTGTTCTTCATAGGAACTACTTACACAGTTTCTAATCG